AATACCACTACCACTACCACTACCACTACCACTACCACTACCACTACCACTACCACTACCACTACCACTACCACTACCACTACCACTACCACTACTATTACTACTACTACTACTACTACTACTACTACTACTACGACGACTACGACGACGACGACGACGACGACGACGACGACTACTACTACTACGACTGGTGCTTCTACGACCAGCCCCACGACCTCGGGTCGCGGTCGATGCCCTCTCCCTTCGGGGGCACTCCGTGCCCCAAGCGCACTCGATGCCCTGCCCCCTAAGCCCCGCATTCGAGCCGCCGAATCCGCGCCGCCCTCCTTCCTCACCCCCACCTGCTCGCGGAAGCAAGTCTGCCTGCACGATGCTGCGCGCCTCGGCCCAAGAGCCCCAAGGGCCTGCTGGCCTGTGGGTGGCTTGCCCCGGCTGTGCGCCGCGAGGTGTCCGGGGCCCCGTCGGTGCCCGCCCTCGGTGTGGACCGCCCTCTGCCGGACGGCAGGGGGCGAGAGGCCCGCGCCGCTGCGCTGGCTCGAGCTGACAGGACCTCCCCCTCGAAAGGATCACGCGTACAGTACGAGCTCGACCACAATAAGCCTTCCACAAGAAGCCCAACCCTGAGACCCCAGGACGTTCATTGATTTCTGGTGTGGGACCGTCACGCCTTCCATGGCAAAGCCATCGAAACGCAAGAAACCCAGGGCATCCTGGAGGCAAACAGGGTGTTTCCTGGCACGGGTTTCCACCACTGTAAGCAGCAGTCCAGCAAGCTGGAACCATGTGGCTCCTAGTCCCCGAAACAGCGCCGCATCAGAGTGGCAGTGCTGTCTCGGCGCGGCGCACTCGCCACGCTCATGGGAAGTCTGGCCGCCCGAGAGAAGGCTGAATGGTGCTCTCGCAGCTGCGCCGTGCAATGATTTTCTGAAGTTCCGCTCCTGCACCTGCGCGGCCAGAGTGGAGTTCCCCTCGCCAGATCGTCGGAAGCGGGACCGCCAGCGATCGCCTTCCGTTCGCTATGTCGGAACGCGTCGCTCCAGGCCCAATGCCGAATTGTGCCACACTCGGTTCTTATGGTAGTGGAGGCAGGAGTGGACATGGGCGGGGCCCGCTGGTTAGTCCGACCTGGCAAACTTCCTCCTCCTCCTCCACCTGATCCTCCTTCTCCTCCTCCTCCTCCTCCTCCTCCTTCTCCTCCTCAATGTTCGTTATAGTATTCCTACCCCTCGATCCTACGGCTTCTCCTCCTCCCCCTCCTCCCTCCTCCTCCTCCTCCTCCTCCTCCTCCTCCTCCTCCTCCTCCTCCTCCTCGCCCTCCTCCTCCTCCTCCTCCACCTTCTCCTACTCCTACTCAGCCTCCTCCTCCTCCCCCTCCTCCCCCTCCTCCTCCTCCGCCTCGTCCTCAGTAACAAGAGTCAGCGCGCAGCGCAGAGTCTAATCTAATCGCAGTAACAAGAGTCAGATTCCTCCTACCTCATCGGTCTTCCTCCTTCTCCTTCTCCTCTTCCTCATCCTCCTCCTCCTCCTCCTCCTCTCCCTTCTGCTTCTCCAAATTCGCCTCCTCCTCCTCCTCCTCCTCCTCCTGCTCCTCCTCCTCCGCCTCCTCCCCTTGGTCCCTCCTCCTTCCTCCTCTCCTCCTCCTCCTCCTCCTCGTCCTCATTTCCTCTCTTCAGGCTTTTTTTCTCCGGTCTCCGCCTCCCACCCCTTCGGCATCGTTCTCTCCCCTCCTTCTGTTCTATAGTAAAATCTGCCCATCTTGTTGGAGGAGGAGGCCCCTGGAGGTATCCGAAGTCCCCAGAAGACCCGCGAGGCCAGAAAAAGACAAGAGACGTCCCACACCATCGATACCCTCCCCTCGCCTAATCCAATTCCCCTCCTTCTCCTCCTCCTCCTCCTCCTCCTCCTCCAACTTATCATCCTCCTCTTCCTTCTTCTCCTCCTCCTCCTCCTCGCCCTCCTCCTCCAACTCCTCGCTGGGTTGGCCAGCAACTCGCTGCGTGCCGCGAAGGACCCATAGCACATAAGTTGCACCAGGTTGCTGTTGTTGTTCTTCAGCCTCCTCCTCCTCTCCTCCTCCTCCTCCTCCTCCTCCTACCTCCTCCTCCCTACCTCATCCTCTCCTCACTCCTCTATCCTCCTCTCTCTCTTCTCCATCTCTCCTCTTCTCCCCTACCTCTCCTCCTCCTCCTCTCCTCCTCCTCTACTCCTCCTGGCCCCTGCCTCCTGCTCCTCGCTCCTCCCCCCCCTCCTCCTCCTCCTCCTCAACTCCTCCCTCCTCCTCCTTCCTCTCTCCTCCTACCTCCTCATGCCACTCCCACCCCTCCTACCTCCTGCCCCTCCCGCCTCCCTCCTCCCCCTCCCCCTCCTCCCCTACCCTCCTCCTACCTCCTCCTCCTCCTCCTCCTACCTCCTCCTCCTCTTCCTCCTCCTCCTCCTACCTCCTCCTCCTCCTCCCTCCTCCCCTCTACCTCCTACCTCTCCCTCACTCCCTCCTACTCCTACTACTACCTCACATACCTAACATCACTGCCTCCTCCTCCTCCTCCCTACACTCTCCTCCCTCCTCTACCTCACTCCTCCTCCTCTCCTCCTCCTCCTCCTCTCCTCCTCCTCCAATCCCTCCTCCTCCTCCTCTCCTCTACACTCCTCCTCATCCTCATCCTCCATATCCTCCTCCTCCTCCTCCTCCTCCTCCTCCTCCTCCTCGGCAAGGCATTCCGTCACGCTCCCACTCCCGATCGCCGTCCGACTCCTCAACAGAGCCAACCGAGAACCTCGGGGCACGGGCACCCGCAGCGCAGCAGCTGCCTTACCTGGTGAGGGGGGTGACACGGGCAGCCGAGTGCGAACCCTGCCCCTGCTGCCTGTCGACGCGAACCAGTGGGGGTTCGCCAGTGGTGGCTCACTTCGCCCGCGCCCGCTC